CTAATACTGCAGGTATCCACAACATGGCATTTTTCTTTAGTGCTATAGCCAGCCAAGAGAAAAAAAAAGGCAGTATCAATGAGAACACAGACGAGGAGAGTAGTTCTGAAGATGAGATTCCCAGCTCGTTTTCTCAACAATGGCTCAAAGGCAATTTAACGAACGTAAACAAATCACTCTGCCCGGCGATTGCTTACTGGGTCGCGTTGACGACAGTAAACGGTGCGCCCGCCAGCCCAATTCCTGTGCATAAAGCCCTGTTGAATTCAGGACTGGAAGTCACAGCAACACAGGTAATTAAATTATTTTCTTACATTTTCATAACCCAAGCATTCCCTTAGCCGTGAACAAAGTATTCAGCACGTCTTGATTCATTTATTTCTTTGCTAATGGCAAAAGATAAATCTATTGGCAAAACAGTACCCTGTTTTAAGATTTTTTCTCTTCTCGGTTTCTTTGAAAGAAAACCTAACAACAACGACTGTACTTTTTTCTTGTGACACTGCCATTATCAACTTGAATTTTTTATTTCGGAATGATTTTTGTCGTAACAGAAGTAATTCTACCGTAATTTGAACTCAGTTTTCAATTGTTTCCGTTTTTTTTTCTAATTGAAAAAGTGCTTGTCCCACGGACAAGTCATGTCAAAGGTTTACATGTGCAAACTGAATTTCTACCTGTCCCGGACAATCGCACATAGGTTTTGGTGCACCCCGAATTCGTTGTTAATAATAGTAATGATGATAATAATGACAATAATAAACGATACAAGCAGTCACTCAGTGAAGAAAGAGGAAACGTAGAACCGTGTTAGGTAAAATGCTTCAATTTTATATCATTTAGGTGCAGTTTCAAGAGGGAAAAGAATCCCCAGCCACAGCAGAACTTTACAAAGTGTTGAAAGATCACAAAAATCCTTTTATGCAAGACCTCGTTAGCTCGTCCTTCAAACACTGTTACCTAGACGAAGCGAGAAAGGTGATCGGCAATGATGGCTTATGTACCCAGGAGTTGGACGAGTGTGGAACTGAAAATGTGGTGAGAGTGACCCTGGTTAACCCGAAATTTCACACGTCCTTACTGAGTGCAGTCGAACTTCTGACCGCAGCTAAGCTACAATTAGACAAATTTGGCTTTGAGTCCAGCACGAAAACGTCTCAAGCTTCCACCAGTCAGCTATCCATGACGTGCGTTGAGGATAAGATGCTGTCCTGTGCTGTGCTGCAATCCTCGTTAACGATATGGCGATCGCCATAGGAAAACTGGGCTATGCAAGCTACCGGGGCAAAGTCTATAAGAAGAATGACCAAGCCAGATACACGTATTCGTATAAATGCGAGGCAAGAGCTTTCGTCAACACCCTCGCCACCAACGAGTTCTTCAAGTCAAGACTTCTTCGCGAGATGAAGAGAGTGATCGACCTGTTATCCGATCCATTCTGCGAACTTTTTTCGCCGTTAACAATCAACTACGACCTCGTCGAGGTAAAAGACGGCCGCTGTTGGTCCATCAGCCGGCGGGACTTTGCTGAAGATGCCATTGAGGAGCAACAGGTGGGAAAGATCTCGCCGAGAGCATTCTGTTCCTTCGACTCTGCAAGAGATCCTGATCCAAAGTACTTTCGAGAAGTCTTAGGGAACAGCCTAAGCCCGCAGGAGTTGGCGAAGTTCTGTGACGATTTCCTAAAGCTGCTTCTCTACAATAAAAAACAGCACAAAGACAAGGTGCCGTGTTTGGTAGGCGATGCCAACAGTGGAAAGACGAGTTTGTTCATGCCCATTCTAGGCCTCATCCATCACGGCAACGTGGCCACGGTGACAAAGCAGAAAGCGTTCAATAAATCAATGATAACGCCCTTCACTGAAGTGATATTCATCGACGAAGCCACCGAATGCACGCTTGATATTGACGATTGGAGGATCCTGACTCAGGGTGGGTATGCCGCTCACGACGTGAAATATCAAAGTGCCCGGGCATTCATCAACCGCTGCCCCATGCTGATCACCTCACAAAGGAAGCTTGAGTTCGGTCCCGCCGATCAGCCTGCCATGGAGAGGAGGTTAGGAACCTACACCTTCAGAAGCCTGCCCCGGCCAAAAAAGAAGGCGTCCAACTGGATGAGAACGCATCCCATGGATTGCGTCCTATGGGCAGCGCAAAAGGAAGGAAGGTGTGCTGCGCGAAGAAGAGAAGGCAGAGATTCAGTCAATGTCACTGCCGGTGCTTTTGGCCAAAGAGATACCAGCGGTCGACACGTCAGACGAAGAAAATCCAGAGGACGAGAGCGACGGCGATTCAGTTTCGTCTTCATCCTCACAGGCAGATCGTACGGCGCATTTACGAGATCTCCTTGAGAAGACACAGCCGGGTTGCCTGCGCCACAGACAGCTCGCGCAGATGCTGAGGACCGAGGAGCACAAAAAAAGGGAAGAAGAAAGGTCACGAGCGGAACGACGCAGAAAGAGGGAGGACTTCCTTCGCTCCAGGGGCGTATCAAACGCGAACTTGAGCCTGTTACCCGACGACCTCGACGATCCCACTCCCAGTCCAATTGCGAGGGATCTAGAGCGGTATGACCAAGCACGGGTAGCAGCCGAAGAACAGGCTCGTCGAGAGGCTGCCAGAGAAGCGTTTCAGGGAACTTGGTTGAGATCCACCGAGAAGGATTTAAAGCGATGCTGTGAACGGTACCAGGCTAGTGACGACTCGTCGGAGCGTTCCACGTTGAAGGCCTACATAAAGCAATTGACAGGCAAACTCAGGGACCATCACGTTTCTCTGGGAACGTTTGGAACTGCCGAGGCTGTGGCGGAACGGAGGAGGGTGTGCACGCTTCTCAGCCTTCTGGACCAGCGCCAACAGTACCTGGTCACGAGTGTAGCGGAGAGACTGCCACTTGCCAATCAGGACGGTGACGGTGTTGATGCCGAAGAACAACAACAACAAGAAGACCTGAGTATCTTCGTGACACCTGTTCCAAGCTCAAGCACTCCGAGTGCGCGTTCAGACCGAACCACAACCACGGAAGCCAGTAAGCGCAAGCGTTCCTCCTCAAGCCAGCGAGTTACGAAAAAACATTGCCAAAGCAACAAAATAAACATGTATTTCTCAAGTCAACAGTAATTTATTTCTTCTTACAACAACAATAAAATGTTGCTTGTCATGTACTGAACCATATTGCTGATTGCCTTTGTCGTTATTTACATTTCAAGGATATCTTTTCATTCTGGGGTTAATGTACAGTTCTAGGATAACTTAGAAAGTGATCCGAATCTTCGCGCTGCGCGGCTCAGCAGGGAGTTGGCTGTCCTTCCCTCTTGAAAACGAAATTCGGGATCCCTGAGAATCGCTTTCCATTGACCGTAGCCGTGTCTCTCGATGCCTGCTTTCAGATAATTGTCTTCTTCAGGGGTGAACATCAGACTCTTTTTCCTCGCGGGGAAATCTGTCGCTATAAACGCATTTTCCCGCTTTAGTCTCGGGACACCCGAAAGACGCTCGGGTGGTGTTTCTGCGATCATTTCTCCCTCGTCGTTAGAGGAAGTATCGGTTTTGCTACCGTTTTGATCTTCAGATGACGCAGAATTGCCTGAAAGCCTCGAGCGCACGTCTATTTCTAGCTCTGATCCCTTTTTCCCGTGCAATCGTTCCAAATATTCATGTGCTTTGCTCGCCACCTCGCGGGATCGCTGCTTCTGATAGTGAACCCTTGCAACAACAGAGCTATGTTTCTGGTCCTCGGAGATTGTGCTCTGCGCGCTGCTGCTCAGCTGCCTGCAACTCGCGGTCTCCACAATCTGTCGATAGCGAGTCGGGTGAACGTATTTGCCCGTTGCATCGAAGACCAGTTTACTCATTAGCTCTCCCAGCTTGTTGTGCTGCCCTCCATTTCTTGTCACCAATACAAAGTCGCAGGTCGGTCTGAGTAGGGGGCGAATGTGGTTGATGTAGCCATCCAACACTTGCATGCTCGTCTCGGTCAGGTAAAGAGAATCGAAGCCAAATTTTCCAGCCGTTTTGAACATTTTCTGGTCTATAAATCCACCGTTAGTCTTGGCTTTGTTCACCATTTCCACTGTTAAGTACTGATATGTCATGGGGCGCGAGCCCTTGACCTTGATAAATAAATAGACGGCCAAAAATTTGGTAGCAAAAGATAAATCTATTGGCAAAACAGCACCTGGTTTCTCCTTGCATGATTTCAGTACGCTCTCGTAGCGCGGCAAGTAGCGCCCCACGACTTCCAACAGTTCTTCTAGTGTGGCCCAGTGCCCCTTGGCTTCTAAGGCATCGATGTCGAGCTCGCTGGTCCACTGCAAGCGCATCATTTTGGAAACGGTTTTGCGCACCTTTTTCAAGTAAATTTCTGTTGAAGCCAGCCCTCTCAACACTGATTCCGATGCTCCATTCACTTTTCGATAATCCACCAATGGCAATGGCATCCAAGTAGCCTATGCGTCCCGCGTGTCCCAGATTCCAGTCATCCTGCATGGTATCAACAAACTTGAAAAGGAGATTCGGTGAACATAAACTAAAGTCCACAATGTCAAATGTGAGCTCCTCTTCGTCTTCACAACAAAATTTGAGAAACTTTAAGCACTTGCTCACGATCTGTTGTGCTTGTCGATCACTTTTACAGCCCCCACCGCTGCCAGTGAGCCACGAAAAAAAGTTCTTGGCAATTTTGTTCGTAGAATCAAAAGAGGCAATTGCCCTGCTTTTACGCGGCGTAATCTTCTGATCACTGGCTTCACATTTGTCGGTTTCATCGACATTAAGCGTATCGATTTGCGCACTGTCTGGCTTCTCCTCGAAGTAATAGTACCAACTGTGCTTGCTCTTTACGTGTTTTTTACAGCCTCTTTGCGTAGTGAATCCATCGTGGTTACAAATTTGCACTGGGCAGTGACAAAGACCATCACAGTCATCCTCTTCTAAGTGAAGTCTCTTTGGTTTAGGCGATGCATTTGCTAACTTTGACCAGTCGACATCCTTGCCTCGTTTGTTCATCTTAAGCATTAGCTTGAAATCGATATTTTTCTAAAGTATGCATGTTTTTATACTAGCAAAAGGGTCCCCAAGAGATCATCCTGTTCGCCAATGAGATATTTGTTAGCCCATCTCTGCCCACACTTGGTCATTCTTGCCCCTTGTCCCATTGTTTTCTTGTCCGTATTTGGTACACAATTAATCAAAAGGAACAAAGACACAAGCCTGAACTTGCGCGGGCAAGCCCAAACGAGATTAAGCATGCAGCGGGCAAGTCTCGTACTTAACTTGATTGTTGACGGAAACATGTTTTGATAAATTTGTATAGCGGAGGTGATGGACAGTAGTTTCAGATAGCCTACGATAAATAGGAACTATTGTTCCCTATTCCTTTTTACACTTTGCGCAAAATGGAACACTAGTTCCTTTGTCACAAATTCGGAACCTGTTCCCATTTATAAGCGGAACATAACACTCATCTTGAGGAACAAAAAACCACCTCGATTAGGAACAATCCCGTTCCTGTTGGGCATGAATAGGAACAATTTGAACCGAAAGGGAACAAGGCGTTCCGAACAGCGGTGGATATGCCAGTAAATAGGAACAATTTGTTCCTTACTGTGTAGAGCAAGAAATTAGATTGGGAACATTTGTTCCCCAATCCCTTCGAAAGGAACATGAAGGGAAATCGGAACTGTTGAAAGAAGACCTTTTTGTTCCTGAAAGGATAAAAGAGGAATCAGTTGTTCCTTTTGACTAAAACGAAAAGGAACTTTGTGTTCCAATTTGCTGCTAACGGACCAGATTGTTCCGAAATTTGCCGACCTTTGTTCCTATTCTGCAAATAAAGTTCCTTTATTGTGCGTTCCTAGGTTGTTCCTAAAGCAATTAAAGGAACAAAAAGCAAAAACGCGCGGAACACTACGTTTTTGAAAAAGAGATGTTTCCTCGTGTCGCGTCACCTAAAATCAAACTTTGAAAGTTTCCTCATGTAAAAAACGGCCTAACAATACTAAGGACAAAAATACAATTGAAAACTACGGTGTTTTAACCTGAAATGTTGCTATCATTACTTTTGGGGAATGTATATGATGATGATGATGACGACGATGATGAAGTTGATGATGGGGATTATGATGACAACGGAGACGGCAGTACTGTTTGAAGGAAAAAGAAAGGTGAACAACTCACAGTTGAAGAACCATATGCCATGTTGATGTTGGCTTCTATTTTATCCTGGTATATAATTTCACACGAGGTTCCAACTAAAGGAGATTCCTGTTGAGGAAAATTTGTGTCCATTTGTTAATTGCACCAACATCAACTATTCTATGTAATAACGACAATCGACTTGTTTCTGTGAAATCAATCGTAAAGGTCATGGGACAGATTGCATGTAGAAGACTCAATTGCTTTGTCCTGTACCTGAGGTCCCCGTATAACATGATGCTCGGCCTCTGTAGGCAGACGGAATTCTGCACCCTTCCAGGTACAGTAAGCTTTGGCCTCGTGATAGTTCACTTCAGCAGGCCAATCCATAGGCATGTCTATTACTTCAAACATGGCACGGTACCTGTGTGGATGGACAAGGGCAAGAACTGATCAACCTTTTTGATTTCAAAGTAGCTATGGAGAGATTTAGGTCAGCTTTAATTCCTCTGTGGACCAGATCCTAGCGTGTGATTGTTTAAATTTAACCTTTTTATCAGCATTTTTTTATATTAAGCTGAATTTTTGAAAACGTTCCCGCCAAATTGACCTCTTCCGTCGAACAGTTTTTTTGTTGTCAAAGTAGCCATCATAAAAACTAAAAGTGCAACCATTGCTTTTTTCTCTTCTCCTCTTAAGACCTTTCTTCCTCCTCGCTCTTTCTTTTTCTCTTTTCCTTTTCCTTTGCTGGTATAACTTTCAAGCTTATAGGGCGCAAACTACCGGGTTTACCTCGGTGTAAGAACCTGTGAACGTTTTCTTTGTTTCGCACCTTTTGTTTTTCTAGGTTCTATAGTGTTGACTTCTTTGTTTCCTCTGTTTTACGTCAGTTGTGAGTTTAACAGGTTCTTACACCGAGGATGAGCCAAAATACCTGCCTATTATACTTCAACTGCAAATTTCGTTGGGTTCATTTTCAAAAAATCGCCTAGATAAACAAGTAGAAATAGCTTTTTAAAGAATTTTCAGATTTGAGTACACGAATATGCGTACTGCTATATTTAGAAAAACAAAACTCACCTGTAGGGACATTCCAACTCATCGTGGTCACCGTTCACGACATGGCCATCAGGCGAACCATTCACATAAGTCCCATTCATGGCGCCATTGACTGTTCCATTTCCATGTCCATTCAGGACACCATTGGCAAACCCATCATGATGGTCGCCGTTTATGGAGCCATTTGAAACTCCATTTAGAGCTCCGTTTCCCAGCAACGGATTATGATTGACATCTGTCAATCCCAGGTTGCAATGGGAGTAAGTTGTCAAGTCCGAGCCGCAGCCGGACTTGCATTGATTGCTGCAGACCCAGAAACTTGGATGGTGAATCTGACGGAACTGTTTCCACCGCCAACCTTGGAAGGACAAAAAGATGTGGGTTGGAGACCTTCTACCACGGGCTCGGACGCGAGGAATAAGAGATAGCCAGGGTTCTATGCAGGAGTTATCGTTTAGGGGAGAAATCCCAGGAGGGCCGGGGGCATTTTCCCCGGAAATGTTTTGAAATGAATATGCGCTGAGGTGCAATCTGGTGCATTTTGAGACACAATTTTGAGAAATGTTACAGTGTGTGGACTGACTTCGTCGCGTTTGGACGATTTTTCCGATATAGTTACTTATATACTGTAATGATAATATTTTTTGTGGGGGGGGGAGAAGCTTCTACCCTTCATATACACTAGATAGAACCCTGATAGCATAGTAAATTAAACTACAACAAGCAGATGGGAAGCGTACTTTTTCACCGTTCATGCCTTTGCGGGAACTAGGTACGAGCGACCAAAAATATTTCCGCCTATAGGGGGGTAAAATGTTTTGGACAAAGCTTCTGACCAGGTCTGGAAGGGTATTCCCGTGATCCGGGATTTGACCAACATACGGTACAGAAAGTCGAGAAACGTTACGGGATACGAGATTTGATTGCTACCCGGAAAGCGGGATTCGCCAACTTTGAGCACGCCTTGGGGTGGATTGTGGATTTCCACTGTCGCGTAATTTTTAAGTGCGTACGTGCGTAAAACGTATGTTCGCAAATAAAATAGAGGCAATGTATGAAAGGTCGCGCAAAAACGTTTAAGTTGAATCTCGATCAAGGGGATCCAAAACAGTCTTGGGTTCTGGATTCCAGGTACTGGATTCCAGTCTTTATCAGTGGAACTTGGAATCTGGATTACAATTGTTAGTGGGACTCCGGATTTCTTAAGCTGTATTCCGAACTCCAAAGCCCAGGATTCTGGATTTCACAAGCAAAATTTCCCCGGATTCTGGATTCCATAAGCAAACATTTCCCAGATTCTGGAAATCCCGACTCCCGTACAAGGACAACCCGAGAATGGAACCCACGACCACCCGCTCTGCAGCCAATCCCTTTACCGACTGAGTGAATCCCGCTGCGGAAAGTGATTCTTACCTTCTTCAGTCCAATTCTTGGAATTTTCATACTCTCCGCTGTTCACAAACTCCAAGTACTCGCGGTTAGTAATCAAGTACTTTGAAGCCTTGAATGAAGGAACCCTGCAAAGAACCAGACGAAATATGTCTCATACATGTACACAATGTCAAAGGCTTCATGCAATCGCTACATGTCAAAAAAAATATCAAAAGAGAACTTCATTTTCATACAGTAAATAATTCATGCTGCATTGCATAACAAAAGTTCCACTGAATGCAAAGGGAATTTTGGATCAATAATTATTTCATCTCTACTAGTTTAGATCATTCCTCCAAATTGTTTTTTGCTTACTAGCCAAGGAATTTACGTGTTATGATCAGTGTGTTAATGTGCGTATATATTTTATAATCCAGTGTGGTGCACGCATGTAATCATTTCTTAGTTACAGGTTTAATTTGTGTACTTTGGTTTTCTGTACCTGCAAGTTTTGTCATGAAGATTGTATCAGCCAAGCTTTGGCACCAATCACAAAATTTATTATTTACATGACAGCAGTACACTGTACATGTACGTAATTTTCCTTTACAAGTGTCGGAGATTAAAGTCATCCTTTCTGGGACATTTACATGGACATGCAGTAATTTAGACTTTGCTTTGCTTGCTCTGTCTGACTGCAAAGGTTGACCAGGGTTGGAATCCCAAGAAAGACTCAAATATCATATGGCTACTTTGCCACTTTACAAACAGATTTTTTTTCATACATGTTGAAACTAAATCAACTGTACATTTTAGATTTTGTGCATGAGGTGCAATGATTTCTTCCAATTAATTAGAGTTAATTAGAGTTATTTTTCTAACTTTTCAAGCGAAATTACTTAATGATTACCAAGGTAGTTGAGACCAAGAAAACTTTTTTTTTGACCTTTCATAACGAACAGAGGTTAGCTTTAAAAAGACTTCAATGCGTGTTTGGCGTAACCATTTGGACATCCTCTAAAATGTGCGAGCCAATTAAGAAGAAGAGTTAAATATTCATTGTTGATGTTTTTATCAGGCCAACAACTGTAAAGAGGTACCATAAAGTTTTCAAGTACTTCATTATGGATAGGATGGCAATTCCATCACGGGCGGGGCCATACTCCGAGCAATAATTAATCCCATGTAGTACAGGTAAACTTTGGTGGAGGAAGACGAGGTGATCACACTGTTAAAAGATTTTAATTTTGGACCACCAGATCCAAATTTAAACCAGTTTCCTCCACATCATCACAAATTATTTTTGTTAAGCTGACATGACAAGTTTTGTCACGAGGACTGTATCAGCCAAGCTTTGGCACCAATCACAAAATTTATCATTTACATGACAGCAGTACACTGTACATGAACATAATTTTCCTTTAAAAGCCTTGGAGATTAAAGTCGCCCTTTCTGGGACATTTACATGGACATGCAGTAATTTAGACTTTGCTTTGCTTGCTTTGTCTGACTGCAAAGGTCGACCAGGGTTGGAATCCCAAGAAAGACTCAAATATCATGGCTACTTTGCCACTTTACTTGAATTGCTTGCTAATTGTACAGTTCTACAAGAACTGTTAGGATTATGATCTGATTTTGAACATGCAGTACCGTATGATGTACGTCACACCCAAACTCACTTGACGTTCCACTGGCCATATTCGTTGTCCCAGCCATAAGACGGAAAGTTTTCTGGCTTGCCCAGGCTCACAGACTGCTCGGCTATTTCAATCAGTGGGTTGGATGAAACCGGATCTCCTGATATTGGCATTTACAAATTACAAAAATGGAAACCCTTGACAACATTAACATGAGGAGGTCTGAAGGGTGCAGAATTCTGCAATTGTTTTAGCCCAGTTCTTGCTTAAAAAATATATATATAAGTGTTGAATGTGAATACACTCTGTGTGAGTATGATTGTGAAGTTACACAGTTGGTAATGAACATAAGGTGACCTGAGATGACCACTTAAGAGTTTAAACCCTCAGGACAATTACAGAATGAAAATCATAAGGCATAAAAGTTGGGAACCAAATTTAAAAAGGATAAAATAACTACAAGAAGGATAGATAGTAAGTTATGTTTATTATTTATCAGCTTTAGGAACATACTAGATACAGGAATGACAAATACACATAATTGTATAGATGATTAAATGGTAATGATAATTAATAATGATGATCATGATAATGATAGTCATGATAATAATGATAATAATAATAATAATAATAATAATAATAATAATAATGCAGGATGTAAATAATAAATCAATAATTATCTGTATAATTATTTAGCTGGAAGACTGACATAATAATATTGCTGTATCAATCAACAGATGTCAAATCTTACCTACACTGTTTTAAACACATCCTGAATCTCATCTTTAACATATTGTAGACTGGGAAATGGTATGAAAGTTAAACTCATCAGAGATTCATAAAGGAAACTGTTTTTCTTTTCATAATTGGCCCAGGCTTTGCTTATTAACATGCACGCATTAACCCTTTAAGTCCCAATAGTGTCTACCGTCAATTTTCTCCCAACTATATCCATACAATGTCAATAGATTAGGTTATGAGAATTAATAAAGTGATCACCTAATTATAAGAGAAAATGCCATGATCTTTTATCAAATTCTCTCAGCTTATTCTTGAAGGAAATGTATAGAGATCAGTTTGGAGAATTTGTATGTGGATATTGGGGCTTAAAGGGTTAAAAACAAACCAGTGCCATCTACAGTGTAGGAATAAATAGTTTTACCTGCAGTTATTGGTCCATCTTTCCAGCCAAGAGGCTTCCTGACAAGCTCTAGTGGCATCTGACGAATCAGAACAGAGGATGTTTCAAAATGGATCCTGTAAAACAAAATAATGTATCCACTGTTATTTCCTAAGAAAACAGTGATTATAATTGTTTGATTATTAAGTGAAAATGGGTGCTACTTTGTTACTTACGTGTATAATAAAAAACTTTCTAAGATGTGCACCATATCTACTTGACACAAAGTTATACATGGAAGATAGTGACGATTAAGATACAGATGGCAATAGCAATAATAATGATGAGGAGGATGTTAAAAAAAGATTACAGGTCAGTGGCAAAGACTTTATTCAAACAGCATGCAAATGGTGACATCTCATCTGCAGTGTAACCAATAAAGGCACTGCACATGTAGTCATACAATTTAATGTAGTTGAGCCAGCTCACCTTTCATGTTCAAATCCCATGAAAATGGCCCACTGAAATAAAGACATTTTCAATGAATAATGTCAGTATTAAGGATTGTGAATACTTGAGGTACAAAGTAGGACTGTTCTTTGATTACTAAGCATTGACATGGTAATGTAGCTTTTTTTGTAACCACACTCAGCAGGACAGTTCCTGCAGATTTGCTGGGTTGTAACGATGTTAATTTATGCATGTTAAGTTAATTTATACAGTTTAGTTTACATCCGGGATCCGGCATGTTTTGCGCGCTCTTCGCTTGTTGATGTACACTCGGCTTACAAGATTAAAACGTTGTGTTTGAGTGCTCTGGTGTTCCGTCATCCGTCTAAGCGAATACGTTACATGGTGTCAGAAGTGAAAACTAGTTTCTGCAATTGGTGCTGTCGAGGGATTATCGCTCAGCGAACCGGAAAGTGTTCTGGAGAGAGATTTGTTCGCACGCACGTGGTCGACCAACTCTGATCTGCGAACTGATACTGCCGTGTTTGGCGCTCGCCATTCATAACCTTCTTCACAACGAATAGCGGAAGACAACGGTGACTGGAATCGTTTTGTGTTTTCGAAAGGAAATCTCTGCTGAAGGAATCTAGCTAACTTCAAATTACTCAGTATGCCACCGAAACCCGAAGATAGCGGCGCGTCTGTGCAAGTACAAGAAGCCGTCGCACAACCAAATCTGGTACAAATCCCGATAAACACCCCATTGCCCTCAAAGTTAGAGCTCACAGGAAACTTGGCGACGAACTGGAAGAAATTCCACCGTGATTGGAACAACTACGAAATAGCTGCACGTCTAAAAGACCCTGAACACTCTGCTGTAAATAAATCGCTGAGAACTGCCACACTGCTAACCTGTATTGGCTCAGATGCTCTAGATGTGTACGAAGGCTTAGAATTCGAGACTGAAGACGATAAGAAGGACATTGATATTGTTCTCCAAAAGCTACAGCGTTATTGTATCGGAGAGACAAACGAAATCTACGAGAGATACCGATTTAACAAGAGAGACCAAGAACCAAACGAGTCCCTGGATGCTTACGTCACGGCCTTGCGCACGTTGGCGAAGACGTGTAACTTCGGAGTGTTAGAGAACAGTCTAATTAGAGACAGGATTGTCATCGGAGTAAGAGACAATCAAGCTCGCAAGAAGCTCCTACAAGTCTCCAAACTCACATTGAAGGAATGCATTGATATCTGTAGATCCTATGAGACCTCAAGCCAACAACTGAAAGAAATTAATCAGGAGGAAGTCAGCGCCATCAGTCAGTCTCATGAAAAGAAACCTAGAGAAATTCGCTGCAAGTTCTGCGCCAAAACGCATGTCTGGAACAAGCTTAAATGTCCTGCGTGGGGGAAGACTTGCTCTAATTGTTGCATTCCAAACCACTTTGCGGTGGCCTGCAAAAACAAACCGCCTCCACCCAGTTCGGCCACATCCTCTAAACCTCCCACACCGAGACACGTCCGCAAGCCAGTACATGCAGTGGAGGATTCTGACTTTGACGAATATGTCGCCTGTGTTGATGTCAAGGAGCACGTCTGTGCGGTGGAAAATCCTGATCGTAAAGACAAACTGCTTGCGGTAATGCTATTAAATGGTCATAGAGTCCCATTCCAACTGGACACTGGTGCAACAGTGAACATCTTACCTGAAGAGTCTTTCAAAGAAGTATATGGTGAAGGCAGCCTATCCCTGCTGGACAATGCGGACGTAACTCTTGTTATGTACAACAAAACTGAGGAGAAGCCGATTGGCAAGAAACGTGTCCAAGTTGTGAATCCCAGAAATGGAAGAAAATACAGTGTGGAATTTGTAGTTGTAAAAGGAAAAGGCAAGCCTCTGCTTGGCTTACGAGCCAGTGAGCAAATGCAACTCATCTCTGTGGTCCGACAAAACATCATGGCTATTCAGTCTGAAGAGCCTTCGCAGAGCAAAACACCACTTACAGCAGAATCTATCCTCAAAGAACAAGCTGATGTATTCAGGGGAGAAGGAAAGTTAGAAGGTGATCTCCACCTTGAAATTGACCCGAACGTACCGCCAGTTCAACTCCCAACAAGAAAGGTGCCAATTGCCATTAAAGAAAAGCTAAAAGAGGAACTGGATCGTTTGGAAGGCCTTAACATCATCACGCCAGTAAATGTTCCAACCTCCTGGATATCAGCAACTGTAGTCACTTTGAAGAAAAATGGCAATGTCCGACTGTGTGTGGACCCCAAACCACTTAACCAAGCCCTTAAACGCAATCATTACCCGCTGCCGACAATCGAAGATGTCCTTCCTGAGCTCTGAAATGCGAGGTGCTTTACTGTGTTAGATGCCAAAAATGGGTTCTGGCACGTGTCCTTGGACGAGGAGAGCAGCTATGCAACCACATTTGGTACTCCGGGGGGAAGATACAGATGGCTCCGAATACCATTCGGCATCTCACCAGCCCCTGAAGAATTCCAGCGAAGACTGGATCAGGCATTAGCAGGACTAAACGGATGCAAAGCGATCGCTGATGACATCCTCGTATTTGGATGCGGAGCTGATGATGATGAAGCGGTAAGAGACCATGATGAAAAACTCATTGCTCTTCTTCAACGCTGTCGAGATAAAGGCGTAAAGCTGAACAGGGAAAAGCTGCAGCTAAGGCTCAAGGAAGTCGCGTACATGGGCCATGTGCTCTCCGCTGACGGGCTACAACCTGACCCTGAGAAAGTCAAGGCAATCAGAGAGATGCCAACACCAACTGACAAACAGAGCATCCAACGCCTCTTAGGGATGACTAACTACCTGCAGAAGTTTGCCCCGAGACTTTCAGAGATCACGACTCCCCTACGTGAGCTCACTAAGAACGACAACGAGTTCCTTTGGGATGACCAAGTTCATGGTGCAGCCCTGGAAGAGACGAAGAGGATCCTTTCTACAACTCCAGTCCTAAAATACTTCGACCCAGGTGCCACGCCCACACTACAGTGCGATGCCTCTATGCATGGCCTGGGAGCATGTCTAATGCAAGATGGACATCCAGTCGCATATGCGTCCAGGTCCCTGACCCCCACAGAGGTCCAGTATGCACAAATCGAAAAGGAGCTATTGGCCATAGTATTCGCAATGGAGAAGTTTGAAACCTACCTGTATGGTAGGAAAGTGCTGGTTGAATCTGACATCAAGCCTTTGGAAGCGATCTTCAAGAAAAGCCTCCTAAGCGCACCAAAAAGGCTACAACGCATGCTTCTTAGACTCCAACGCTACGAGTTTGAAGTTTCTTACAAAAGGGGACCCTCCCTGCTTATGGCTGATCCCCTGAGTCGTGCGTATCTGTCGCTTAAAGAAGCCCCTGAGGATCAGGAAGACGTCATGACAGTCTCAGAAACAAGGTCGCCAACAGAGATAGAAGCAGAGCAAGTAAACATGCTACAGTATCTTCCAGTGAAAGATGAAACCCTCTGTCAAATCCAAAACCTTACTCAAGAAGATGCTATTCTCAAGACCCTCGCTGGCGTCATTAAACAAGGCTGGCCAGAAAGTAAGCTCCGTCTCCCAACGGAAGTTCAAGAGTACTTTCCTTTCAAAGAAGAGCTCACACTTCAAAACGGAGTTATTTTCAAGGGAGACCGTGTTGTCATACCATTCCAAATGAGAGCTGAGCTCAAAAGGAAGCTACACTCCAGTCATCTGGGAGTACAGGCATGCCAGAGACGAGCAAGGGAAGCTTTCTACTGGCCTGGCATGTACAAGGAGATTGAAGAATATGTCTCCCAGTGTGCAGTCTGCAATACATACCACCAAGGGCAGCAGAGGGAGCCCATGATCTCACACCCAGTACCATCAAGACCGTGGCAAGTCCTTGCCGTTGACCTCTTTGAGCTCCGGGGCCAGGACTACCTTGTCACTACTGACTATTACTCAAATTTCTTTGAGGTCGACAAGCTTGTTACTAAGACATCGAAAGAAGTAATTGAAAAGCTCAAGCCTCATATGGCCAGACATGGAATTCCGGACAAGATAGTAAGCGATAATGGCCCCCAGTTCAGCTCGCAGGAGTTTAAGAAGTTCAAAGACTTATATGAGTTTGATCATGTTACAAGCTCTCCCACTTACCCGCAGTCAAATGGCAAAGCGGAAAACGCGGTAAAGACTGCGCAGCGAATCATGCTTAAGGCCTTAGAGGCTGGCAGTGACCCTTACTTGAGATTCCTTGACTTCCGCAACACCCCCACTGAAGGACTAGGAACATCTCCAGCGCAGCGTCTCTTTGGCCGCCGTACCAAAACACTCCTGCCTACCGCTGGCAGACTCCTGACACAACCTGAATTTGACACCACTTCCCAGCTTCTTCATGCTCAGAAGAACAAACAAGCCTTCTATTACAACAATGGCACTAAAGAACTCCGGCCACTTGAACCAGGGAGCACCGTTCGTATCCATCCACCCAAGTATAGGCATCAATGGACACAAGCAACGGTTGACAAACAAGTTGGTGTACGTTCCTACCAAGTAATTACTGACGACGGAAGGGTGTATCGCAGGAACCGCCGACACCTGCGTCTCACAGCTGAAGTTCCAAAACAATCACTTCCTGACATTGAGGTATCTAGCTCCGATCCTGGTCCCCTGCCCCTGACCAACGTTGAACAGGTACCACCAGTAGCTGAATCAATGCCCCAAGAGAAGGCCAAGCCACAAGCAGCACCAGGCCCTCCACCTGATGACATACCAAGTCCTGAAAGATGCAGCTCCCGGGGAAGAGTCCTACGAAGACCAGCATACCTCAGTGACTATGCATGCTGACACTTTTTCTATGTCCTTTATGTTCTTCGAACAATCATTATAGGAAACAATTCACGTTTTTCTTTCTCTACTCTTTCGTCTTTCGAATAACGAAGGGAGATGTAACGATGTTAATTTATGCATGTTAAGTTAATTTATACAGTTTAGTTTACATCCGGGATCCGGCATGTTTTGCGCGCTCTTCGCTTGTTGATGTACACTCGGCTTACAAGATTAAAACGTTGTGTTTGAGTGCTCTGGTGTTCCGTCATCCGTCTTAGCGAATACGTTACAGGTCACAATCAGGCTTTTAGCCAGACATGGAAAACTGGCCTTCGAGAAGCATGTTTTCTCATAAAATTATAACAGATTAAGTGAATTCTCCTTGCATTTCTTCCAAAAATGGGCATCCATAGGGTGGCTGCACACTTCTGGCTAAAACCTTGGTCACTTGACCTTCATATTACCATTGTTCTCAGTGACCTTACCAATGTTTCAGATCCTTATGTACCATAATTTATGTGTGGTGGGATTTCAGCTCTTACCCCAAGAGGGCCAGAGCTGAGTCAGGTGTTTACATGTATGAAACACCCAGGTCAATTAGGACTATGTTTTCAAAAAATAATTGCATTCAAACAGCAGATTTTCCAGTCTAGAAATGGGTCCATTTTCAGTAAACTGTTCCAAAGCTCCAGATCTCACTCAAAGGCTTCTGTGTGTTATTGTTTATAAACCACATTCTACAGTTCGGGAGTATGCCAGAAGAAGCGAAAACAATAGTCTACGTCACCAACCATAACATGATCACCATGGCGATGGCCATTTTCAAAACATACAAAATGGCGGACAAGGCAGAGGAAAGAGTATTGACAGAAATTCTCGTTTATTCTTGTTTCATCGAGCCTTTTATTTGTCTTCTCCTTACTATGAATTGGACAGTACCTTGAGGACAAGGAGTAACCATTCTTGCGCTATAGTTCTTCGCTTATTGCGCGCTTTGTAGGCACTTCGTATTCACTGCGTATGTAATCAGTACATCGAAAATAGGTAAGCACGCTAACAAGTTTGTGCCTATTTCTTTCATTAATTTTTTATATTATAAGAAAAAAGAATGCTTTGGAAACAACTAAAAAAGTGAGTTGTTCTATAATTTATTTCCTTATGTTTACAAAGAGTAACTTTTACTGTAATTTTTCCCATTGCTTCTGTTTCTCTCTCTGGGAGTGAGTGAGTGGCCGGAGAAGACGGCTGTAATTCAGGTTATTGTTTTGGTGCAAGCGAGTCATTTGTGAGTAAAATATCTGTTTTTTTCGAATATGATGTTCTGTTGGTGTATGTCCTGAAGCGGTTCCGTCCAGGTATACAACAGGTTTACAAGGATTTCTGAGGGTATTGTGTCCGCGTTTTCTTCTTGAAAACCCACAAAGTGAAAATCTTGCTTATCATCCCTGATCATTTTTTATTAATTTTATTGTTACATTTTGTTTTTTGTAAATAAACATTGTATTTCTGGTCCTGACATAAACTATGAACAAGGGAGCTATGCAAGTCATGCACACCATCAGCAAAAATAAAGTAAAAACAAGTAAAAACTGCAAATTTTACAGATTACGGTTTAGGTTGGGGTTAGGGTTACATGGTTAGCTTTCAGTTAATTCTTTTGGTATTACCAGATTACTGTTTTTGATTTTTATGTATTGTTTTCAATGAGTCGTATCTGACCTGCATGACTCGCTGCCATTGGCTCGCTGGCTTGCATATTATACACACTCTTATATCTCACTTTCTTGGACATGAAAACCAAAAACCAAAGCTTAATTGATATAATGAAGACAGTAGCAGCTGACATAGGTTTTCAATAGTTATCTTGTGAGATGTCTCTCGTGTATTATTTATTAGGGAGGATGATTTGTTGAAGACGATACATTAATATAGATGCTTTTTCATCGAGAGAATCTCAATAATTTAGGATTTATTCAAATCCAAACATATTCAATATTATGACATAAAATGTGGGCTTATTGCTCATGCAAAGGCATTGATGGGGGAGAGTGTGGCATTTTTCCTGTTTCAGATTGACGCAAGGGATTGAACATTATGTGGAGAAAATCTTCACAAGCCTCCACTTCCATGACTCCTTCCTCATCTATCTCCTTTAAAGCCCCTTGAATAAGAGCCAGAGTCTCTTCTATGGTTGAATCGTCATTGAGTGTGAGCTTCCACTCACAAGGTATATAAGCCCCCCCTCCAACCTGTTTCCCTCTTACCCATTTTTGAGAGGGAGGAGGGGCTTTTGTGGTGGTAGGTAAGCCTGTGACCACACTACAAAGAATTAAACAAAAACACATGTTTGATTTTACTGAGGTAGGGTTGAATTTGGACATTAAATTTTTTTATTACAGAGTAACATGAGGCGAATCTAAAGCAACATTTTGCCCTCAGAGCGCAAATATGTCGTTCTGAAGATATTTAACATTTGTCTTCCTCCTTCCTTTTCCCAGCTTTTTGGCACAAACGCGACAACATGTTTGTAATATGTCCAGATGTTGGTCTGCATTTTGGACGGACATCCTGACCAAAATAAAAGGAATCAATATAAGAACCAACTCACACTGATTAAAAACTCATTCCACACACATGATCTGGATCGATGACGTGATTTCTAGATCAGAGTCGCATACATTGCCGGTGAACATAACCAAAAACAGACTTGATCGCTTATAACTAAAAATACATAGACAGACTAAGGCATAACCATCAATATAGTAACCCTTCCTGTCCGTTGGCAATTTTCAATGTGTGGTTACCATTTTTACTAGGTTGTTACCATCGATGAAACTTTGCCTGAACACACCTTACACGTTGTAGTTTTGAGGAAAATTAGTCTTGATTTCGTAAAATTCGGCAAGATACTGAAAACTAAACATAAAGACATGTACTTACATTCGATGGCCGTCAAGATGGCGGCGACGTCTTCGAACGCTCTTTGATAACTGTCGATTTTACTACCGCAATGTGGCACGAAACTGCTCTTGACATTCAAAAAAGCAAGGAAAAGGCTTCTCCATCAGCACTGCTAGCTCGGAAGTCCCGGATATTGAACGAGTGGACCTGGAACAGGCTTTGAAAAAAGCTCCCTTGTTTTTGGCGATTATTTTTTCTTATTTTTGCGTATTTTTAGCAGAACAATGGAATCATGACGTCATCCCTTCTTCCAAAACTGGCATACTCCCGAACTGTTCTATGTGTCAAAAAAGTATACCCTGATCTAAAAATAATGACCCCTTGGGCTGCACGTATTGGTATTGGTTTTCTGGATTGGGAGTGGGATCGGAGTAATTGCAGAAAACAGACCACTCGTAAAGTTCATTCAAAACTACATCCAAGCCTTGAGTAGCATATTTTTCCATATCCTCACCAGTGAGTGATATTGATGACGTCAATTCCTGCTCAAACTGTTGTTTGTGCACTGTTTATCACATGCTAAGAGAAAAATGACGAGCGATAGATGCGTGAAGTTATCTGAAGCTGACATAAAATCTTTCTCTGAGGAGCAGGAGAATGTTAATACAAAGAAGAAAACTTTGTATGACTTAAAATTATATTATTCAACGAGTTCCTCACAAATGAAAACAATAGGGGATAACTTCGAGAAATTCCTGCCACCGAACAACAGCAGTTCATGATAAAGTTTGTGCTGGGAGTCAAAGAATGAAAAATGGGAAACACTTCTGTATACATTATTAAATAAAAAGAAAATTACCCAGTGGCTTGAAGATACGAATTTTATTTTCTCGTGGTGAAAAACAATACACACTCACTCTGCTTGTTTGTAAAATATTGCTTTCACGTCCACTCAAAAATAAAATTCACCTTCGTGCCACCGCGTAATAATGAGTACATTTCCCAACTGTAACCTGTCATGAATTCTCTGCAAACCTCCAAACCTCTCAGCAATGGTTTAGAGTTCACTGTTAAATCATGTATGTTTTTGTTCATCTTACCCATTTGCTTTCCTGAGTTACAGGCAGCTCCAGTGGAGTGTTATCTATAACATCCAAGATGGCTTTGCGCACCTTCTTGCGGTATTCTGCAACTTCAGCAACAGTTGGCCATACAAAACTTCCTCCCATTCTGTAATTCTCCTGCAAACTTGTACAATGAGAGATCAAAATAATAGAGGGATCTGCAGACATGCTTGATGAGCACAGAAGCACAACAAAGATAAACAAAATGAGATATTGATATGTCAGAAGCATGTTTATTTTTGAAAAATACTGGCAAAATAAAATTGCATTGAATATAATGTAAATGAAAATCAAATAACATGAAGTAAACAGTTTATTTGTTAACATTTAGATATCTAAAAAAGGAAAACAATTCAAGTAAATCACTCACAGTGTCATCCCATGACATCTCATCAACACCTGTCTCAAACAAGGTCTCATACTCAAAATTAATCCTCTCCTAAAGACAAAGCATATTAAAATAAAGGTTAATTCATAACATGAGCTATAATATTAATTTTAAATTATAATTCATTAGTGTGGCCATGTTCAATGTACATGAACAATACTGTCGAGTTCCCCACTGAGTCTAGGGCAGCCAATAACGACAGAATCTTCCCTGACGTAGACATTCAACTTTAAATAAGTAAATTAATATTCTGAATAATTATTGTTCAGTTAAAATATTGAGCTGTTTCTGATGGGCTCCAATCACCCGGCTAATTCTTCATAACAAACGCCGGTGCTCACCATATTTGGAAGATGCAAGCAATATACCATTGATTGGAAACGAGGTTGCTTGAGTAAATATGAACTAAAAAAATGGCTTTCACTGCAGCTATTCGAAGACAAAATAGCTGAACTTGTGACTTAAACTCAGAGTGGAAAAAATGCCAAAACAATATTGCTCAATGAATTTTATGTACTTTTTAAGAAGTATCTGCATCTGTTTATATCCTGAAACCGTGCCAACAAAATAGGCCAAAGTTTTGAAGAAAGTCTACAAGGTAAGCATGTTGAAAACTTAGAAAAATGTTAAATATGGGATGATGTTGTCATAACATCCTCCTCGATCTGCATAATTCTTCACATCCTACTCAGCCTCGTTCAATAACTGCTAAATATTCTGTTTTTTTCCAGTTAAAGCACTCAAATTTGCAATCTTTTGAAAATCATGACCCCTTCCCCCATCTCTGCACCAACCCCTTGGTAATCTGGACACCTGCTTTAAAATGGTTCATCTGTAATATTTAAGTTCATATCCGAAGTTCCACACTGTACAACTGATGAGCACTGTGCAGATTGCCTTTATTTTCTTTTTCACTCTCTTGAGGCAGCATAGAATGCGAGCAAGCTCTCCTATTTGGGCGAGTGAAGCGAGTCTCACAAAAATGCGCGAGCGAGCGGCCAAGCCGCGAGGGGCAGAGGAAAGGAGAGCTTGCAACGATCTCTCATAAAATTTCATTTGTACTTTGCTCAGACGAAGGGAAATACCATTGACTGAAAAATGACCTTCCGGAAATCAAAGTTGATTGATAACCGGCCAAGCTGGCAACCGCTGTGTGTCAAATTTGGTTCTCAGGGGGATCAGACTTGTTTCAGCCCTCAAAGCAGACGGGCTCATTTGATGTAATTCTCGCAAAGAGAATATTACGAGCCGAGGATAGTCGGACCGAGTTTGTAGTTCTTGTGGAAGGAAAAGAGAACCAAGTGCAGGAAAACGCTATTCTCCAGGTCCAGACAGACAAATATAAGATGTTTTTGTTAGTGATTGCGATGGAGAGTAGTCTTCTACTATACTGTGTAGTTTGGACGACTTTTCACAAGGAAACGAAACGAGAATCAAAGTAGTGAGTTCTTATCAGAGCGGACACGTTGAAGTTCAATGTCCCCATGGAAAAAAAAAACATATCAGTAATTAAAAACATTGCTTTGATGCTGTTGCGAAAGCGATTTACAAATAAATTGTTCTATGCGCCCTCGGTTGTCTAAACTTACTTGACAGGCGGTTGTCACTTTTCTAATCTGCGGCACGTTTGCGGTGACAATTTTCACGCTTTGCGGAGTCCTGGGGTTTCCGGGGTGGAAATGAGAATTTATGAGAGATCGTTGCAATAAAAGCTCTCCTTTCCTCAGCCCCTCGCTCGCGCGTTCTCGCGAGGCTCGCTTCGCTTGCCCAAATAGGAGAGCTTGCTCGCAGGCTAGAGGCAGCATGGTTTATCTACAACTGTATAAATGTACGTGTGTTTTTAGGAAAAGGTATGTATACCTTTAAGAGGCCACCAAGAACAAGCTTATTAATATACACAGCTGCTGTGTGACCAAAGTAGAATATCAAAGGAAGACGTAGTCGATCAGGGCATTTATAAAATGCTGACTCATCTGAAAGAAACACGTGTTAAGTTAATTCTTATATAAGATGATAAAACAACCTTGATGTGGGCATTTGGAATTTAACCTCTATTGTTTGTAGAATCAGTGGTTTTCAGTTTTCATATTTATTGCTTTTTTTTAACCATTTGTCCGCCATTTGCCCACGAATATGCATTTGAATAATAATGCTTTGGCAACTAAAAAGGGAAATACTCTGAAAAGGTATGCATACACGCATATTGTACAAAGTGTAAGTATGAATGAACCAGTGCAAAAAATTATGTACTGTATTGTACTTGTATAAAATATTGGATTGTCATGAAGCAGATCTTATATATAGTTGCATGGTTAAAACTCTCTTTACATTCTGCTTAATGATATCACATAAAATTATTAGTCTACATCAAAGGGCCAAGAGAAGCTGACTGGATGCAAATTAAATATTATTGTAGGTCTGGTGCATATCTTATGGTTCACTGTTTCAACTTTTTTATTTTTATGATATGGTGAAAAATTGCATATATGTGATAATGTGTTTAAAACAAAGAAAATTAACATTAAACCAAAGATGAAATTAAAGCACAACATAATTACATGACACCAAGCGGTTAAATTATTAAGGTCCAGTCCACATCAGCCTTATGGCTGCCTACTATCGAGCTTTCAATAAACCAGGAAAATTATAAAGTTTCTGTGCAGTATGGATGTATATGTAAATATGAACTTATCTCTTCAGTGGATAATAAAGTGTCCGCAACTCTGCATGCAGAATAATTATTATCATAGAGCACTATTTATGAGAGACTCAACTCTTTCACCCAATTCTGCTCTTGACCTTTTCATTGGTTTTAACACAGGTGACCCAGGCTCTGTGATACAGTTGACTCCCGATAACTCGAACCCTCGCTAACTGGAACCTCGCGCTAACTCGAACCAAGGTCGATTTCCCCTGGATTTCCTTCTTACAATTTTACTGTAATTTTACCCTCAGTAACTCGAACCCTCGATAACTCGAACCTCTCGCTAACTCGAAGTAATTTTTGTTTCCCTTCAGCTCATTTCTATACAATTTTACCCTCGATAACTCTAACCATGTTATAAGAGCGTGACAAGTCGGGAAAAGACCGTGTTCTGAAGTCCGAAACATTGAAATATTTCGAAAGTCCGAAATATTTCAAAACAACCTAGTAAATTCTTTGTCTTTACCTTTTTGTCACTCCAGTTCAAATTCAGTGCCCATTCCTGTATACTTTGTTGCTTAATGCCCTTAATTGCCTTTCCTTCCCATCCATTTGCTTATTTCCTTACTTCCGGTTGTTTGCTTCAAACTCTCGATAACTCGAACTCCCGATAACTCGAACTTTTTTCGATTTCCCTTGAAGGTTCGAGTTATCGGGAGTCGACTGTAGTACCACGGTACGGTTCCAGTTAGCCTGTGAACGGGCTCTCTGTTTGCGGAAAAAAATAGCGAGGAAAGGGAAGGGCTGTTCACAGGCTAGGTTCCAGTGTTTGAATGGGGTAAAAATACGATCCTAAAATTTCTACGAAATACCAAATAAAGATCAATGAAACTTACTCTGCAGTTAGTTGTTGTTGCCCTTAATGCTCCAACGAAGTTTCGTGATAATCTGTTCAAATTCACTCTATATACAATAATAATATACAAGGTAGGAGACACGAAGATGCCATCTTCGCCGCCATGCTCTCATTCAACACAAGTTTTTCACGAAATTCGAACTCCCACAGAAAATAAACGTGCCAGGATCGTAGTAATAGGATAGCAGCAGATATAGAAACCAATGAAGCTTTCCCAGATAGAAAACCGAATCCCGCAGACTTTGACAAACTCGAAGGATGTAATCCAAACTAGGCCGAGAATATGCTCACCGAAGTAGCCGGGCCAGCCTGGGCACTGTACCCCATTTTAAAGATTCCCGCTTTTAAAGATTCCCCATTTTAAAGATTCCCGCTTTTAAAGACTCCCCGTTTTCAAGATTCCCGCTTTTAAAGATTCCCCGTTTTAAAGATTCCCGCTTTTAAAGATTCCCCATTTTAAAGATTCCCGCTTTTAAAGATTCCCCATTTTAAAGATTCCCGCTTTTAAAGATTCCCCGTTTTAAAGATTCCCGCTTTTAAAGATTCCCCATTTTAAAGATTGCCCATTTTAAAGATTCCCGCTTTTAAAGATTCCCCGTTTTAAAGATTCCCGCTTTTAAACATTCCCCGTTGTAAAGATTCTGCTTTTAAAGATTCCCCATTTTAAAGATTCCCCGTTTTAAAGATTCCCGCTTTTAAAGATTCCCCGTTTTAAAGATTCCCGCTTTTAAAGATTCCCCGTTCCTTGTTCCTTGTTCCCCGTTCCCCATTTCCATTCGCCGATTCCCCGTTCCTTGTCTAACAGACCTTTTTACCGATACGGGGGCCATATTGAATTAATTCGATTTAAGGAGTATTATAGGATGCTCAGGGGGCATGAGCACATTTCGTTTGTATTTTCGAGCCGTTTTCGGGCCATTTTTTCGTAAAGTTTTCTTAGAATAAGATTGTAATGGGAAAAAAGATCCTTGTGCCGTGTTTGGATACTAAACTTCGAATACTAAACTAGCATAGAAAAAGGCGATCATTATTGCATCCAAACACGGCACAAGGATCTTTTTTCCCATTACAATCTTATTCTAAGAAAACTTTAGGAAAAAATGTCCCGAAAAGCGCCCGAAAATACAAACGAAATGTGCTCATGCCCCCTGAGCATCCCATAATACTCCTTAAATAAAATTAATTCAATATGGCCGCCGTATCTGTAAAATGGTCTAATAATCGTCTTTACGGTCAATACCAACGTTGATTGCCGAAGTTGCATGTTGATACGTAACATTAGTATTTTGATGTTGAACTCTCGACTCGAAGGTTACAGTTTCAGTATGGAGGGATATTATTGAGCTATTTTGAAAAAATAGCTCATATGTCAGTGGTGTGAGCGTATGTATCTTTGTGGCTTTGTAACTTTGTATGTTCGGATGTTTGTTGCAAGAGCCAATAAGGTTGAAGGTACTATTAGTTGATGCTTAGGAACCAATGAGATCTTAGCATCTACTTAAACATGACATTGGTAAAGGTCGAACAAGGGCACTTTGAGACCGCCATCTTGATTCTTCACAATTTTTTCGTCTTTTATTACGGCTACAGGTGTTTGGAAGAATTACATTAAATATCTTCATGATTCAAACGCTCTGTACAGTGATGCAGCTGTTTAAGGGTTCATATTTTAGTATGGATGCTGCTTCAAGGCATTTCTGACCTAATTCGGCTATCGGTACAACGCACGTCAGTATGAGTTCTGTTTCACCCGCTACAACTGGGTAGAGTATAAAAGATCATATATTTTCAAAGCTCTTCCAATGAAGCAATAATTGATATTTAGATATAGACTTTAATTCGAAAGTATGCGCCCTATAAAATGTGGTTTTAGAAGTTTAAAAAGGCAGCTTATTTTTGTGAAAGCTGTACCGAGTTTTGTTAATCCTGTAAACAAGCTTTAAAAATATCATTCTCTCGCTTACAAAGTTCAACAGACCTTTTTCGTTCTGGCAAACCAAAAAAAAAAAGAATAATAAGTGAACAACATAATACATCCTTCCTGCATACTAAGTATTATAGTTTCTGAAACCTATTTTATTTAGTAAAGATGAGTAACTTAAGTAGAAACAGTAGCGTTAGGGAATAAAAGTGGAAGAAGCTAGTTGACACAAAATTAGATACTGTTGTATTGAGTGGAGTAACATGATACAAGTAGAAATATATTTCGGCAGTTTGATAATTTTCTTGGTAGTTAATAAATGTTAGGCTATCAACCTTGACGTTGCATGAAACATAATTTAATTGCAGGTGTTGTAATAAAGCCGAGGTGATTTCTTAAAATCGCTTGAGAAAATTTTGTAGTGAAACAATTTGCCTTTTTTTTGCGTACGAATTGTAAAAGGGCCAAAGACCAACATCTTCACATGCAAATTGTGTGCATGAGTTATTTTTATAATTCTGTTTACTAGATTACTGTGTGATAACTCGAATTCCCTCACGTACGAACCACGAAAGGGGGCAAAGTCCAACACTTTCACGTGCCAGCTGTGTGACTGTACATCTCATGCAGATTGGCTTTTCACAATGATAAATAGTAACTTGAACGTATGAAGACCTGTTTCGTTTTGTAACCAATGCCTTAAAAAAGGCTCTTGTCTTTTAAGAAGCAATAGCTTTTAAAACATGAAGAAATAAGTTGTCGGAGTTAAAGACTGTTTCACTGAGTAGAATCGCACGTGAAAACCTCGTGAATTATGACGATGCAACCATCTACCACAATGATAAAAATCCTGGTATTTCGTAACTATTCAGTATTCGATGAGTCACATTTTGGCTTAAGAAACTCCGCGGAAACCTTAGAGTTTTCCTTCTAATCAACGTTTGGTGAGTAGAAATTTATTTTACTTCAACAATTTGTTTAACTTGCACCAGATGTAACAGGGAAAGACAGAGGAAAGTGAATATATAGGTTGAGGATCGACTCAGCTGAGCGTTTCGCGTTTTCATTTATGTAGCGCAATACCCAATTTCGCACAAAAACCAAATCTACATTTAGGATGAAAAAGGTAGATTCATCACTCTTGGTAAGGTTACACCGAAGTATTATAGTTACACTGAAGCATTCAAAATAGCTCATGCACGTTTAACGTGCCTATGTTTGTGTAAGATGGAGACACTTTGCTGTTGAACTTACTGGATTTGTTTAGATGGAGCGAGGGTCGGTCCCCTAAATTAATGTAACGAAATCCTGTTTAACTTATAACCTTTTACATGTAAATTTTGGGTCTTAAAAATATTAGGCTAGCGACGTCTAAGGAGACTAGGAAAACGTCCTCTGGGAGGTTTCTCCTTTCTATGAAGTTAACAAAGTCAGTTGTGTCCTGAAGATAGGACTTTTGTGACTTAGCTATAGACTGAAGTAGGCTATCAACGAATGATGATATTCGTTCGGTGGGTCCGTCGTTTCCTGCCACTATAGGTCGGCCAACAGGATTTGGCTTATGAATCTTTGTGAGGGTGTAGAAGACAGGTATTCTGGGTGGGTTAGGCCTGGTTGAGACGCCGCTCCACTCATGTGCCGAACCTAACTGATGAATTAAGTACGGCAAAAGAGCGGCGTCTGAATCAATTTGGCACGGCAGTTTTAGTTTGGTGCGGCAAGAGCGTTAAGTTCGACAGAGTCTGTCGAACTTTTGTCGAACTTAACTTAGGTTCGACACACGGTACGCCGTCTGAATCAGATGTCGCGCCAGTGTCGCTCCAAAGTCGAACTTATTCAGTTAGGTTCGGCACATGAAAAGTACGGCGTCTGAACCAGGCCTAAGGTGTCTGTGATAACCATTTAACAGTCATTTCGTCAATAAAACTTCCCTGATAGTCCTGATGCAGTTCTTCGACTATTTGTTTCAGAATTTCGTGCAGTTGGCTTGGGTAAACTTCAGAATCCCCGGCCACTTATTTGCATCTTGTTCAATAACCAAAAAAATATTGTGTTCACTCATCGTTCAACACGGTTTGGCTTTATATGGAAAGAGGATTAATAATAACAATAATCCACTCACCCAATGTGATATGATATGTTTTTCTTGTTTACGAATCGAAACGACTTATACACGGAAACATCGAAAAAACCGGCAGACTTAACTTACTCCTGTTAAGAGTACCGTCAAGCACGTTAACCACACTTTAAACTAACGTTGCAACAGGGTGAAAAGTAGTAATGTTTATCGAGAAACTATTAAGTCAGACATTTTATGATCAGCTCTCACTCTCTCCGAATACTTGGGCCCAGGCTCCTATTATGTGTGAGTGTCAGCTTGTAAGTGTAAGGGCCCTTACACGAGCCCTTACACTGAAAACCTGTTCGTAATTCGTGACTCATTTGTCTTCCATAGTATGCCTTATAACCAAACAGCCACAGCATTAGCACGAATTAGCATGCCCATGAACGATTTTCAGTCCGAAGATTTGAGCTTATAATAAACAAAAGTCGGGGCCAGTGGGTTATAACATTCGCTGTGGCTATATGGCCGGTAACCGGTCAAGGTTTTCAAAACACTAAATGGCCGGCAGTTCTATATTCTTAGTAAATTTCACAAAATCGAAAGATTCCAGCTAATGTTAACTATCATACGTCGATTTAGAAAAGTCAAGCGATCCTGAAATGCTTTATAGTCAAGTCTAATGGTTGGTTTACGCTGAACCATGTTTTGTGACACTTTTCAGCTCGACTGCCGGTCAAGGTTTTCAAAACACTAAATGGCCGGCAGTTCTATATTCTCAGTAAATTTCACAAAATCGAAAAAAACCAGCCATAAGTATAAAAGTGTCCTGACATCTCTTTTTCCGCGACTCACAGAGGTTACTATCATCACACCCAGTCAGGCCAGGTTTTTATCTGTTTTGTGCCTGGTGTCACGCCACGCTTTGGACAGAAAACAGTAATGCACTAGTCAGTGGAAAGCCCCGCACCCCCATACCCGGGGAATATCGGGGCATTAGACCAGGCGTCCCGACTAAATGAAGCAAATTCCCCGCTATGCGGGGCAATTTCTTATGTCAAAACCTCATTTTTGTACTCCGCCCCCGGGGCAATACTTGAAAAATCACAAATACACAAAGTTGACCAAAATTAATTTATTTCAAGAATTGTGCCTCAAATTGAACTCTTACAAAAACTTTTTCAATGTCTTCACAAAATAGATGAAACAATCATGGCTTCCTCTACTCCTCTTGGTAAGATATAGTTCCGTGAACTTTTCTCTGGACGTGTAAATGAATAAACTGGAACACGGTGATTCAAGCAACGCATCAACACAAAACAAGTTAAAGATACACCCGAAATTGTAAATTTGGCAATAACTTCCTTTAAAATTTGCTAAAACCACTCCTAAAACAGTAATATCAATTAAAGGCTTAGCTATATACCCGAACACGAACTAAAGTAAA